CACATGCCACAATGGCAACTGACTTTCTCGACCGCAGCTTCTCATATTTTAAAGACTGAAAGCTGCGAAAACGAGTTTCGAATCGCTCTTAGCTATGAGTTAGCAAAATAAGTAAAAAACAAATCAAAACCTAATGATATGGCTTCGTATCCTCCCACCGAGGTATTATTCATCAGAATAGCTCGCCAAGCTTTTGATGAATAACTCATCTTGTCAAATTGAACCCGAACTCAAGAGGTGCTCGTTAGAAACTACAATTGAATGGCTTACAAGCAATTTTTGAAATATTGACACGTGACGTTACGACCCTGGAAATGCTGCCGGATTCACTTAGCCATTTCAAGTACATAATTAATTATCTTCGATTACGTGTTACGCCAATTTAATTTATATAGTGAATTCAGTGTCAAATAAGGGGTCTCGAGCAAAATATTCATAACTATATTTAGCAATAAATATAGTCAGTCTACCATGCCTTTAGAGATGATAATCTGACTTGTATATAATATATATACATACATAATTTTATAGTATCTGTTCTTATACTTTTGCTGAATACCGTTCGTTCTTATAATGCACACACATGCACACCCACTTTACAAGCCTACCCTTTGGTATGCTTATCAGCAGCTTATTATTGGTTTCTTCTTGGCATAATGCCGTATCTTTGTATTTGTGTAGAGACTGCAGCTCAAAACAAACACAGTGGAATACCCTCACATACACATCAGCAACACAACAAATACACGTACACAAAGTCAAAGGCACTTGCATACACACATACCCACGCACGAAAAATTCACCGCAGTTTTTGTATTATATCTTTTTATTAATGAATGCACTTACTTTGACGTCATTTTGGTTATGAAATATTCGTGTTTATGTTCAAGTGCCCTACACTTTATAAATTGAATGGATTCATTTTAAGGTAAATAACTTTACACTTCTCATTATCGTTTCGTATGTTTCTCTGCGGGGGTGGCTGGGCTAACAATATCGATGATATATCGTTAACATTTAGTGAGACCATATATTCGATTGCAGCTATAGGCATGCTAACTCTGTTCAGACTCGCTATCGATGTCGATATGCTGTCGAGCCGTCGCTATCATCACTAGGTGTATACCAAACAACTCACAGCAAAATGGCCGCCGTAGTGTAAAGAGTATAATTTTTGTAGTTCGTGTTTTTCGCTTAATTTGATCATT